TTTTTTTTCCCACTCTCACGGCAAGGCTTGCTTGTTGCGAGGGCCGTGGCTTTTTTCTTGTTTTTGTGGTTTCGGGGGGGGGGGGCTAGTCTTTATTTTTGCCCATGGTTGAGTCAACGTCTTCGTTTTTCGTAGCATCGCCATGGAGGATACGTGATCCTCCGCAAAGACGTTTGGATTTGGTTAGCAACAACAACTGAGAGGATGCCTTGCGGCAGCAAAGGAGTATCAACGGTAACATGATTGAAAATCACCGAGACCGTTGGGCTTCACGGGCGAGTTTCTGCGCCTCCAACCTGCGTACATGCATGTCGTTTGGTGTTTGCCTGTTTGCAAGACGTGTTCCTTGCAAACCAATACTACGTTTGGTGTTGGCGGTAACTCTCAGGCACGCTTTGGGTTCCACCATTTCGGAGCCCTGCAATTTACGCCGTCTCCGCGCATGGCCAATCGAAGTGCAGGAATGTGTTGGCGATTGGACTCGACAAGACCCCAATTCTTAGTGTGTGTGAGCGCGTCCTCTTCAGGTTTGCAACCTGGAGCAACGTTTCATCGATACCATAAGGAGTTTTTTCGACCATCGCGGTTTCGTCTGGCGTGCTGCAAATCGAGATTACTTGTACAACAATAACCCTGCACAACCAATTTAATACAGATACAGTATCGACGACAACAACGCTTACGATTCATACGATCCTAACTGGGAAAAAAAAGTCGAACATGCCCACGCTTTTCATGCACTACCCAAAACAAGCAGCCTCCTAGACCTACCGTGCCCCGGTCTCGTCCCAACACGATTCATGTCAACCCGGCGCCAACATACACATAACCAAGACCCACGCACCGGCACATTATCAACCACGTGTTCCGGAAACTCATGGCCATAACGCTTAACGACACCCACAAAACATGCCAGCGAGAATCAAGATGTCACACGTCACACCCTCTTACCGACACCCAAAACGCTTCCGTCCAGCGCCCTCCGCCCTCCACAACGAGGTACCCCCCTC